TGCTGAAATGCCAGCAAATGTGCTTGCTCAGTTATGTGTCCCATGACCAGTCAAAACCGCTGGTCTATTAGACCAGGACCTGCCTTGTGCTATTACCTTTTTGCACTATTTATTCTGTTCTGGGTGGTGGTAGGTGTTAGCTGAATCTGAGCAGAATTGAAGCAACACCCATTTGGGCAATGCAATGCGTGGCAGTGAGAAATGTGAGATGTGCATACCAAAGGCCTGGGAAATTTCACTGAAGGTGCTTCCAGGAGACTGTGCTGGCTTCAGCTGCTGCCAGGCAGTATTGGTGTTGGCAGGAGGGCTGCAGTCGAGATGCCCACGAGCAGGCATCATGCCTGCAGAAGCCTCCACCAGAAGGTCAGCCTCAGTGCATTGCCTCTGCTCTGAGACTTACAGATTGTTCCTGCTGGTCCTCCTTGCTCACTTCTTGCACATTACACTCGTTCCCCACTCCTCTTCTCTGGCCTCACTGAAAATCTTCCATGCTGGGACCCTACCAGTAACTATGAGACAGCACCAGCCCATCTACCTGCAACGACAGGACCTTTGTGCTTGCAGTGACAGGGACACTGGGGCCGATGGCGAGAGATGTGGACAGCCTGGCCCTCTGCATGAAGGCGCTGCTCTGTGAGGAGATGTTCCAGCTGGACCCCACCGTGCCCCCCATCCCCTTTGATGAGGAGGTAAGGCTCAGAGGCAGTCCCATGCCTCCATTTGCCCAGCAACAAAGTGAGATCTTGGGAGATTCCTATCTGGTTTCATGTCTCAAGATAGTGAAGGACGCAGGGAAGTAAGTGTCCTTCTGAGCAGAGGGCAGCCAGCATGAGCAGCCACAAGAAGTAGCCACACAGCAGGGTTGGCTTGCCCTGACAAGACCTGCTGGATGCTGACCCCTTCCCAGCAATGTCCAGAACAAGCTTGTTGGCTCCATCCTGGCCCAATCCCTAAAGGGGGATTTCTCCTGATCAGAGGAATTCACCCCTCACACCTTTAATTAGAGAGCCTGATTTAACAGTCACTGACTTAAGAAATCATTGCTCTTTGCCATTAGCTCTCTGCTTCTGCCATCTTGTTGTGTCTTTCTGGCCCAGGCCCTAGGATCTTTCAGTTGTCCCTGACACCCAGACAATACGGACCAGTTGCTTGCCCTAGAGGAACAGCCCCTGAACTCTGTCCATAGCCAGGCATCGCAGGCACGTGGACTGTACAGGTGCTATCACACCTGCTCTCTCAAAGTTGGGCCATGTTCACATGGCAGGAGGTAGGGTCAGAAAGATCATGCCAAGGACCACTGCTGCAGACCTGTGTTCTGAATGACACTGCTTTCCACCAGTCCTATTGCTCCCATCATTCCTCCAACCCAGGAGACCTCAGTTGCTGCCTCCCTGAGCCCTGGGAGTGGTCCAATCTTGTACGTCTCATATGTGCAAGTGATGGCTCCTCTTCTCATAGGTTTACAGCAGTTCAAAGCCACTTCGGATTGGGTACTATGAAGGAGATGGCTACTTCCAGCCCTCGCCCAGCATGAAACGGGCCGTCCAGCAGACTAGAAAGCTCCTCCAGGATGCGGGGCATACGGTGGGTTTTCATGCCTGTGATTGCCTGGAGCTGTTATCCTGCTCCTTACAGAGTTTGGACAAGTCACTTGCCATCTCTGCTTTTGCTGCCTCTAAAACAGACACCGTCCCTCCCTGCTGCAAGGATCCTGAAGAGGAAGGCACATGCAACAGTTTATTTCCCAAACTGAAGCGATCTTGCTTATGTTCCTGGCGTAGCAGACAGGAGAATCACCTTTAGATATCTCCAAGTCACCTTTTATAAAGCACTGGTTTTTCCATCATGTTTGGTGTCCCCATGAATATCAAACTCACAACAGTATCCGCAATCCCTCAGCTGTTAAGTGCAGTTTGCAGATTTCTTTGTGGGTAAGCGGGAAGGGGGTTGGAGCAGTTGACCCCTCAGGGACGCCTTCTACCTTAAATTATTCTGTGCTTCCACTAATGGGAATTTCTATATGGGAGTTGTTCCAGTGATGCAAATTAATTAAAAATACTTGGTGTTTTGAAGCCTCTAAAAAATGTGTGCAGTGTAGAGCCTGTGTCAGGTCACAATATGTGTTAATACATTGGAGACAGGAAAGGACAGTGGGCTGCTAACCCAGGTCCCTTTGAATATGAGGTCTTGCTGTTCTACAGCAGCAAGGAGGGCCCAAGCTTCCCACCACTTCCCAGTCACCTCACTAGTGAGGCAGGGAGGTTCACATAGGGCTCTATGAATCATTCATCTTTGTCACCTCTTGAACATGGATGGTTTTCTTGCAGCTTGTTCCCTTTGCACCACCCAAGATTGACTACGTGGTAGACGAGCTGTTCACCAGAGGGATTTTCTCAGATGGTGCTGCTCACCTGGTGGACTGCTTGTGAGTAAAACACGCTTTTCAGTGTGGGTCATGAGACTTGGCGCTCTATAGCCGGTGGTTGCATCAAGAGTGTTTATATTCTTCTGGGTGCAAACTCAGTAATGGGCAGCAGAGGAGCAATTTCTGGAAGGATGATTTTAGCACAAGCAGCAGCTAGTTCACAAGAGCAGTTCACACACAGATAAGACAGTAGGGTAATAAGATACCATGTGCCAGCAGTGCTGTGGCAATTACTTTTGTGTGTGATTAGTTCTTGGCAATGGGAAACATCACACATTATAGAACTTCCTAAGGAGGAGTGGTGGGTTAGCCCTGGCTAGGAGTCAAACACCCACCGAGACACTTGCTCCCTTCAAGGTGAAACACGCCCAGGGCTGTACGTGGCCCCACCACTGAAAAGCACTCCAGAGCCTTTACGGCACTGCCAACATAGGCAGTAAAGTACTTATTTCTTTATAACTTTTGCAGTGAACACTTACACTTGAGCATCTAAACCCCACAAGCATCTCTCATTTCAGTGTTTCAGATTGAAACAGGCAGATTTTGTCTTCTAGCAACTCCCCGCTAAGACAAACCCTGCTCTGGAAGCACCACTGCTGTTGCTGTAGCTCTGGCACAGGTGGCTTGTCCTGACTTCTTCACTCTCTGCCCTTCCAGCAAAGGAGACATCGTGGATCCCAACCTCAAATCCCAGTTCAATACTTACAGGCTTCCTACTCTGGTGAAAAGGATCTTGGCTATCGTTTTGAAACCCATAGTAAGTGTGTGGACATGTCTCATCTGTGTTATAGGAAATCTGCAAGGTGGGGAAGTTTCCGCGTGCAGGGAGGTAGGCTGCTCCCCTCTGGGAGTGCTTTCCTGCTTCATGTTAAGTGCCTGATGGGCTCCATAGTGAAATACACTTAAATACACTTAGTCCCTAAACCCAGGCTGAACTTATCAAGTGGGTCTGATAAGCGGATCTGATCGAGTGGATCTTTTTGTGGGAGCTTTGCATGGGGAGGTCGAAATATGATCTGTTCTCAGGAACCCACAAGCCATACAGCTCATCCAGCAATGGGTCCCAAGAGAATGGATATCACTAGCAAGGATCTAAACAGCATCCCCACATCCAGAAGATGCTCTCCAGGGCTAGCAGTGTGATCTAGAGGGCATGGGTGGTTGTGATTAAATTATAAAGTAATGTGGGAGTAAAACCACTTTGTTGGATACCACACCTACTCTTCAGAGCAACTTCTGCTCGGGCAAGAAGTGTGCCCAAAATGCAATCACATGGTAGCTAGCTATTTCAGCTGCATTGTTGTTGACTCATCCCAGGTTTTTCTTTTCCCTCCAAAAGTACCCACGAATCGCTCGGGATCTCGGCGCTCTCTGTGGAGTTGGGTAAGACGCACTGAAGTAGCTCTTGAGAAAGGGGATGCACGTGGATGCGTCCACCGATCCATGCAGGTAGATGCCAGCTCGCTGTGCAAAGCCCTGCCACAGGGCTGTGCAGCACAGGCTGAGCCAGATCAATATGTGCTGCCTCAGCACCACCTGGGCTTAGCACAGTGTTATCCGGGGCTGTGCATCCAGAGATTATTTTAAGAGCTCAAGGATCCTTATCATGGCAGGACTAGGATGTCTCCAGGAAGATCAGCACAGACAGATACGGGCTACTTTCCCCATCAGGTGGATTCTGGTATCCAGAGCATCATATGCCAGGTTAACGCAGAGGTCTCTGCACACGCGTGCAGCGTGATGTGAAGTACTTGCCCCTCCAAAAGACAGAGATACACCAAACCCGGAGCAAGTGAATTTAGAAGACTGCCATGATCTTTGTCTTGGTGCCACAGCACCTGGACACGGTGGCATGCTTTTAACATCAGATCTTTTGATGTACCTGTAAGCACATATGAACCCAGTGGAATCAGCTGGGTGATCCTATAGCTTGTTCCCAGAAGGATCATGTGGTTTCCATAACAATGGGCTGTCTGTGCATTTTGCTAATTGTTTTCTGTTGCCACAGTCCCAAAGCTGATTAATTCTGCCACCTTTCCAGGTCTGCCAAACACCTCTGGGATCAGCATGGAGCAGTGGCGGTAATGTGATTTTATTTTTATATCTCCCTCTTACTAAATATAGTGAGAGATTCCCAAAGTTTCTTAGCAATTGCTTTGAGCTCTGTGATGGATTTGGGGTTGGAAATGGATCATGTGGAAATAAAGCAGCTGGGTTTTTCTTTGAAAGTCAAGCTTTGCAAGGAGCAATAAGAGCTCAGAGCAATAGATGTTCATTTGGAGGACTCTGCTTACTAGAGGATGAGGAGGAAAGATTATCCTTTGCCCTGCATTTTCTAAGCAGAAATAGCATAAGAACAGCCGCAACAGATGAGGCTTCAATTTTTCTTCTTTCCATTTCTTGGTGCAAATCCTTCATTTCAGACATTAGGTGTTATTGTCACTAGCTAAGACCATGCTTGAACTATTAAGCAGAAACCACCTCAAAAATTGTAGTTGTGAACTGTTTGGTTTAGGTGGATTTTGTAGGAGTTCATCTGGGATCAGGAACATAGGACAGCGTGCATTCTCCTGGGCAACTGAGTCCAGTGCTGCCCACAAACTGATCAGGTTCCTCTTTAAAACCAGTTCAGTTTTATGTTTGCATTTGTTTTTATTGGCCAGCTCCTCTCCTTCCTGCTCTCATGGTTGGAAACTTTCACATTTCCCGTCTGTTTATTCACTTCCAGTTTATCCTCATTTTATTCCTGTCCTTGAGCTTAAGTAGCGCCTCTCCTCTCTGGTATGTTCCACTGCCGCCCTTGTCCTTCATCTATTTATAGAGAGCAATCGTATCCCCTTCCAGCTGGTGTTTTGCAAGGCTGAAGAAGCCAAGCTGTTTTGGTGTCCTCCCACAAGGCAGGATCCGTGTTCCCTGGGACACCCTCACAACCCTCCCCGAGAAGAAACGTGTCCCCAGCCTGCACCACGCAGCCTCCATCAGTGCCAGTCACTCGATGGACTTGCACACTCACTTGCAGCAGGTCTAGGGCAGAGAAAAACTCCTACAAACCTGCCTGGTCACTGGGCCGATGAGAGGGTTTGGAAGGAAAAGGGTTGTGGGTTTGTTTTTTTTTTTTTTAGGTGAAAACAGATTCTTCCTCCCCCCTCAAAAAAAAAAAAAACCAACCAAAAAGAAAACTCAAAACTGTTTGTCAGCCTCAGAGATATTTTGGATTGGTTTTGTTCAGTGAAACCATATTCACATTTTTTTCATCTACATCAAACAAAAGCTGATTCAAAACTTTTGGCTAGCGACCAGCTTTTCTCTCAGAAAAAAAAATCAGGTTAGTTACATGGACTTTATTTCCTGGAAACCCATCTCATTTGTTGAACTTCTAGCAGGAAGGATGTCAGACTGCAGATGAAAATTGAGGTCAGACTAATAAACAAACTTCTGTGACACATGTGGAAGACCCTTAAAGAAAACTTGGGTAAGAAAGTTGTGCAGAAGAGGGGCTGGACCATGGGATAAATGTGTCCCTATAGCCAGAAGATGGTTGCAGAAGCAGCCATACTGTGGTCCATCCCTGTCTATTTACTAAGACAAAGTGGAACAGCTCTTTGAGGATGGATTAATTCATTGCCTGACGTTCAGCAAAGCTGCAGAAAACCAAAATACAAATCTAGATCTCTCTTGGAAGCACAGTATGAGTCTGAAGCTGTGCCTCCTGCATTTTGGGGGGAAGACCTCAGGCTTGCCTAGCTGTCTCTTGCTGCTTCTTTTTCTTACCTGTATCCTGATGCAGAATGAAGAAGGTTTTGTGAAAATATTTTTAATTCATGTCTTCTAGATTCTTCTACCAAAATAACCAAAGCTTTCAGGAAATTTGACTTTTTAGTCAGCTAGACATAATTCTTCAAACTATTGTTGATCTCCAATAAAATTCAAAGACAAAACTGTTCACAGGAGGGATTGGGTTAATACTCACAGAAATCAACTCTGAAATGCTCTCCTAGTATTAGTGTCTAGGTCTGGGCAGCACATGGTATTCTGGGAGGAAACCTAAAGGTGGAAGAATCCGTTGGCTCTTTCAAAGCACAGCTCAATTTTTATTTGATTTTTCAGTTGTATCCAAGAAGGTTTTTTTCCTCCTTTTCCTGTGCTGTAGGCATTGATCTGCCACCGCTGTCAGACATTGTTTGTCATCTCCTCTGTCTTTCCCTCTAGGTTTACTGCACTGAATTCATTGCTAAATGGAGGAAGCTAAGGCTGGATGTGATTCTTTGTCCCATGCTGGGGCCAGCCTTTAACCACGGCTATGCTGGAAAACTATTTGGTAATCTCTGTTGAGATGTCTCTGGATGCATCCATGGTGGTGTTTGTGGGCAGAGCTGGAGCAAGATATTTTGGTCTCTTGGACATTCCCCAAACCATGTGTGGTGCCTGGTCTTTCCTCTGGGGAAGAAAGCAAAGGAGAGGTCTCCTCTGGGTGGGTCTTCTCATGCCTTCACCTCATCTGAGCTGCAGGTGTTTGGATTATTATGGGGCAGCAATTAGTGGTACATCTGTCCCCGTCACTCCTGGGTGAGTTTTCCCTGTATTGTCTGTCCTGTAGAAAGCCAAAGAGCTACTCTTTCACCAGAGAGTAGCTGTGAGAATAGTTGTCAGAGGGGTGGTAGACCTCAGCATAAGGCCGTGCTCTTCTGAATGTGGCCATCTTACATTTCCCAAGACTTTGCAAATAGCAGAAAGGCTCTGTTGCCTGTGACTTGCAGAAAGAAGCAATTTTTTATAGCTTCCAGCAAACAGTCAGGGTCCTCCATCTCTCTAGCAACAGTTCTTTGGGATCCAAAATCCCCAAGATGGTGTTACAGAGCTTGACATCTGGATTATCTTGAACAGATAGCTGGGATTTTTCCCTGGGGTATGGGAGACACAGGTACAGACTCTGTGATCAGATGCTCATATGTGTCTCTCCTGGAGCAGATAACCTCCACCTGACTGACAGATGAAGGCATGGGGCTTTTTGGTCTCAGCAGCCATGCAGCCCACAAACCATCCTACCAAAAGTCCCTTTGAAGGCAGTAGGGTTTCACAGTCTTTTCAGGTCCAGCAACTCCAGACCACAATTCCTGCAACCCAAATTATCATCCAAAAGTTATTGCTGGCCCAGCACACTAAATTGTGCCATTTTTCATGCTTAGTGTGATCTTTTCCAGCTGCGACCTCCTATACCAATTTATACAATGTCTTAAACTTCCCTGCTGGGGTGGTGCCGGTCAGCACGGTCACAAGAGCTGACGAAGAAGAACTGAAGCACTACCGAGGGCACTATGGGGACCCTTGGGATAAGAGGCTGAAAGAGGTCAGTGGGGAAGGAGCTTAAGTCTTAGCAGAAAGCTATGACTGGCACAGTGACACCACTGGCATGTTGTCCTAAAGCTTCTCTACATCTCCTGATGAGAGTGGGAGCTTGTTTACTAATGCAGTTGCATATACCGTGTTTCTACCCTGAATGTGGTGCAGCTAGGCTGGTGTATGCCAGCCTGATGTCTATTCACTTGCATGTCTTCCTTTTGCCCCTCTTCCCATAAGGTCAAAAGACAGCATTCCCTCGTGTGTCTCCCCCGGTGCTCTGACTTAACACCGTGTTTAATTTTTGCAGGCTGTGGAAGGAGCCGTGGGGCTACCAGTGGCCGTCCAATGCGTGGCTCTGCCATGGCAGGAGGAGCTTTGCCTTCGGTTCATGAAGGAGGTGGAGACACTTACCCATGGCACAAAGAGAAATGTGTGATTTCTTGGAACCTGCCTTCACTATGATGACTTTTCATTCCCTGCCCTTCTCTCCAGCCACCTTCTACCTGATGCACAAAGCAAAGTAGATAGCAACCTGCAGACTCTGAGCCGCTGTTTTCAATAAACTGGCAATAAATGCTGTTTAAATATAGTCAGCAAAAATCTCATCTCTGCCAAAATTGTCCTTCTTTGTTAGAGTTAAATTGAGTCAAAAAAACAAAAGAAAGGAATGAGAGTTAATGCTGGACCAGAGTCCAATAACTGTAGTGTAATGATATCTGTTGCATGACATGACACCAAAGAGCTGTTTGCCCCAATATTTTACTTCCAACAGTGGGCAGGAGCAGATGTTTGTGGGAGAGTATAACCTAGTAAGTGCAGGATTCCCTCTCTGGCTGTGCCATTGGTTGGCTAAGAGGCTTTTTGGCAAAGACTTGCAGTCAGCCCATCATTTTTAATAGCTGCTAAGAAAGCTCTCCTTCATGAACTTGTTGGCCCCCTTCCTGAACTCATTTACTCTCTTGGTCTTCACACCAAACAGTGGCAGTGGGTTCTGCAGATTAATTGTGCAGTAAGTAGTGGAAAGCTTAATTTTCTTTCTCTAAGCATAAGCTGTGAGGAAATGGTAAATGGTCTGCCTTTTTGCCTTCACTCTGGTTCCTCATTGTTTCTTCCAGTTAAGCAATGGGAAAAGAAGGTTGCTTGAGGGTTGGGTTTGTTTGGTTTTCTTTCATTGCCTATAAGCACTCGAGGAAAACGTGAGTTTAAGCATTTCTGTGGCTATGCTTAGACTACTTGCACTGTTTGGTGCTTTCAGTGTCACTGTGACAATTGTGTGCTGTTTCTCAACCTGTCCTTTGCTCTCAAGGTGGAGGAAGAGGTGGGGGTGATGGAGGAGACCGAAATGCTTTGAATAAGCAAGTGTGCCTTGAAACAAGGTGTCAACGTTAGTGGTGATCCGTGCCTTCTCCAGGCACTGGGGCTGGAGCCAGTACTTCCCCAACAGGGGAAGAGACCCATAGGGCCAAGGAGTGACACCGCTGTTGTTATTTATCTGCCTCCCTGGGGCTGTGCAGGGATGCTGCAGTCATCCAGCAGCTTCCCGTGGTCACAGGCAGGTCTGAGTCACAGAGTGAGTCCTGACTCCTCAGCTTGACTCATCATCCTCCATTCAGCCCAGAGCAAGGAGAAGATCCATGGCACAGCCCTGCTCCCAGAAGATGCCCTGCCTCTGCAAGATTGCTGCTGGGCGGCACCAGCCACAGAGCTCCTGCCTGATGGGAATCTGCCAAATTACAGTGACTATTTCCGACCAGGAGCAAAGGATTTTTAGCTGTCTTCTCATAGGGAAGGTGGGAGGTCACCATTAAACAGGTAACCTGTCCAGGTAGTATTCCTGGTTAGGAAGAGCACTGGGAGACATTGTTTTGCAAGGAAAGAACAGTGTCCTTTGCCCCTGTACCCCTCCATGTCTTTGCAAGTCTGAATGAAGGGAAAAGGTCCTGTTTCTAAAAGGAATTTCCCCATGCATACTTGCGCTCTGCATTCCAGCTGCACTTTGTGGGTGGCTCTGGAAGGGATTTGCTGTTCCTCCCACTCTCCCCTCTCCTGCCTCCAGCCAGTCATTAGATCTCAGGATCCCCCAGCATTGGCTCCCAGGACCCAGCACCCAAATGGAGTCCTCACTACGGTCCAACAGATACTGAAGGAGAATGCATGGGTGCTTTCAGCCGTGGTCTGCAGCTCAGCCGGAGCTTTCCTGGCGCTGCGTGGATGAGGTGGAGACAGGTCCAGGAAAAGATGGAAGAGGCATCAGGGAGACAAGATACAGGTTTGGACCAGATGTAGGGGTCTGTTTAGGAATTTAAAGAGCAACTAAGATCCTTGGCTTGGCAGAGAGCAAAGCACCTTCCTGAGTAAAACTCAGGGTCCTTCTCAAGACAGGTTGTCCATTATGTCAGTTGGCATTGCTGCAAGAGCATGGGGGGAAAGTGGAGAGGGCGATGCTGAGAGCAGTCTGGTGAGCTTGGGCGCTGAAACTCAAGGAGGGAAAGACCTTTTGTAGGGCATAACTTTAGGTTTGCAGGAGAGTTCTTCCTCCAGGCTTCCCCCGGGCTGGCGAGAGGATGTCAGCTCCTTCCCACACCCACCGGCACAGTGTCGCTGTGTTTCAAACACTTCTGTGGCCCCTTCACCATAAGCTGTTGGCTCAGGCTGTGCAGCCCTCGGAGACCTGCACCGTGTGTTTACAGAGCACTTGTCCAGCCGCCGGGCACTGACCAAAGTCCAGGCTTTCTTCTGTCTCGGGGAATTAGGTAGTAATGCTGCTTGGGCCAAAAGGGCTTTATTTACGCTTGTTTCTCTCATCTCTAGCGCAATATTCTGGTTGTGGTCTTTGGTAATTTTTCCTCCTTCCTTCTGATTTTACTTAGAATTAAAATCTGTTCTCCTCACCCCGTATTTCATTCTGCAGCCAGATAAGTAACTGAGCGACGTTGACAGATTGAGTCGTCAGACAATCTGGTCTTTTTATTTGCTTTTACCTTATGTTGCAGGGATTTTTTTTCTTTAGTTTGCAGGCTAGGCTTTATATAGCCACAACATCAAGAGCAAATAAAACTCTCCAGCAGAACCGATACCAGCAGAACATGAGTTGTTAGGACAGGTCAATCGGCCTCATAATATTTGAAGCAAAGGGAGCTCCCTGGTGTCACAGAAAGTGGCAGAGGGCATTAGGGACAGACACCAGTGCCCCCAGGGTCCCAGACTTTCATTTCAAACAAGTTTGAAAGGAGGAGGTAGTTAAAGTAGCTAAAAGCAAATGTTTAGAAAAAAATAGGTGAAATGAAACACAATAACATAGCAAGGCTCACCCTTGAAACACAAAAAATGGAAAATGCAAGAATTAGGGTTGGTTCATCTTTCACTCTGAAACAGCTGTTAGCCGCACAAATCCTTTTCTCTCCAAACACAGCCTCAATCTGCTCTTTTTTTTTTTTCTTCTTTTTTTTCTATTTTTTTCCCCCTGTAACTGTTGTGCTACTTTGCTCTCAAATCACCTGGCTCCTCCCCTGCCCTGCTTGCCCATGGTGAGACCAGTACTTCCTGCTGCAAGCTTTGTGCCCAGCCATGGAGCAGCTGGAACATCCCAGTGCTTCACCATCAGGGCGCTGAACTCTCTGCTGTTACTCGGTGGGGTCAGACCTCTGCGAGACACCAGGTGTGATGGAAGAAGTAGGAATGTTCCTGTATTTCTGGTGAAGAACTAACAGCTCTCTGCAGCATCTTTGCTGATGGTGTCTCTACCTTGCCGGACAAGTTGTGAGTAGGATCTGTACAAGCCACTTGGTGATGGAAAGGCCCAAGGAAAATAGTGGAATACCCACAAAAGTAGGAAAGATGTAGGGATGGTCAGGAGAGAAAGCAGCTCCTGCTGTCAGAGGTGTGAGGGTTGGTATGGGAGGTTTCTCTCCCCATCCTATTGCAATTTATTCAGGGAGAGCCCGCGGGGTCCTGGCTGAGCAACATGAAAAAGGGTTGATAGAAGCAGACCCTCACCTCTCAACTGATGTTCTCGGTTGTTGGAAAGGTGCAGGTTAAGTAGTGGCAAGTTTCTTACCAGCTGTTCTGTTGTGTGAGCGTTGGTGGAGTTGGATTGGAATTGAGGAAAGTCTCATGCTTCCAATAGATATTCCAGGCTGAAATGAGTCAGAAACTGGAGAGTTCCCAGAAAATACTTATTCAGCCCTCTGAGCCAACTGGAACAACTTTTCCAGAGGGGACCAGCCCATTTCACTGTGATTTCAGCTTTTTGTCAAATGTCTTTAAAATTCTTTCAGAGTGGCATAGTTAACATACCTCGCTTTGTAAACTGTTTTGAATAAGTGCATCAGTGTTTGGTTCCAAAAACAGGAACATGAGATACAACTGTCAGGATTTATTCTTTGTCATTTTAATCAAAATGGAGTCAAAGCATACTTAAAAATAATTATTACCAATTTAGAGGGAAGATAGTTTATAGAAAATTTCTGTCAAAACCCAGCCTGCTTGAGAGCTGAAGGCATTGATGACGTTAAGCCGGTGCAGTTTTGGGTTTGCAAGCAAAGACGGTGCAGCTCTTGCTGGGGAGAGGAGTGGACTGTCTGAGCTGGTGTAACCGCCTGTTTGCTGCGATAGCCCACAGTGAAGGAGACGTCGTGGGTGCCACAATGGAATCCCAGACCAGCTGCTACAGGCTGACTCTTGTCAAAAGGGTTGCGGCTTTCATTTTAACTCCAGTGGTGAGTTTGACCTTGGACCTGGATCCTTTCAGGCAAGAAAAACTTTGCACTTGGCCTTGGTTGTTTAGTGCACACCAGTGCAATATGGAGGAGTGAACACTGACCTGTAAGTCAGACGGGTCTGTCTCCTCTGCTATGGACTTGAGATTTGACTTGGGGCACCCCTTGCTTCCCTGCCTCGGTTTCCCCATGGGGACAGTGGTCTCTTTCTCAGCAGAGTTTTCTCCCAAGCACCACTTTGCTCCTCTTTGCCTAGATGTGGGTCCACACAAAGCCACCCACCATGACGCAGCCCATCTGCCTCCGTGTAGCTGCTCCCCTCTGTGGCAGGGACTCTTTAATTTCATATGGCTTTTGGAGTACCTCAGCAGGTCTACTCGGAGGGTGCAAAACAGGCTCAGATTTTTCATCCCGGTCCTGAGGGTGGATTCAACCTTCACTGCCTCCATCACTCCCCACTGCCTGTGTCCCTGCTGCAGGCTGTGGTAGGAGCTGTGAGGCTGCCCATGGCCGTGACGTGCATGGCAGGAGGAGCCATACCTCCGGTTCATGAAGGAGGTGGAGATGCTCTCATATTGATAGGGAAAGGAGCTTCCTCAGCAGCATCCGGCCACCTGGAAACACAGCTGTGCCTGCTGATAAATCTGCCCTTTGAAAGGCTGAGTGGGTCCGGACACAGCTGACTGTCTCCATTAAACATTTGCCAAGTGTCTAAAGG